TGTGTGCGATATCCTCTTCGTCAGATGACCTATAGAGAAGATCGTATTTACGCACTGCAACGTGAATACGATCACAATGGACACAGAGTATATGCTGAAATGCATACCGCAGACTGGAGGTGGGAAGTTCAAGTACTATACCAATTTCTTATCACCTTGTGACTAAAGATCTGGCTAACCTATGACAGGAAACAGTTCCACACGGCGCCACGGTTGTTCCAATTATCAGGATGTCCGATCAGACCCATCTCACTAACTTCTCCGGTGACAAGAAGGCCTGGCCGGTGTACGTTATGACAGGAAATCTTGCGTCGACTAGGCGTAACAGGCCCGGATCGATGGCTATCACCCTTCTTGGACTCCTACCAGTCCCTCCGAAGTTGCCCCAGTCGGCTTCAGCAAACAGATCCCAGAGAGAAATCAATGCCGACACCCTTAAAGGCGTATGCGAACTCTTATTTGAGCCCTTGCAAGATACTACACGCAATGGCGTCCAAATTGACTGTGCGGATGGGACTGTCCGGAGGTCCTTCCCGATATTGGCTGCGTGGATTGCGGACCATATGGAAAACGTTGCCCTTTATGGAATAAAATCCAACGCCTGTCCTGAATGTGAGGTTCATCGACACCAGCTAGGTGCCAACGTGAACACGGCATATCAGGCCCGAGATTATGCGACATACGAGGAACTCGAGCAGCAACTTCCCGACGAGTCGGAGATGTCAGATTCAGACATGGCGCACTCCACACTCGACGCTCTGGGTGTCAAGATCGGGGGGAACATTTTCCACGGGCTCCGACGGGTGTCTGCACCTGACTTGCACCAGCCCGATCTCCTTCATACAATTTACATGGGACTGTTTGAGCACATGATGGATTGGATTCAAGGATTTCTCAAGAAACATGGGCGACTACAAGCATTTGATAATGCTTGGAAGGCTTTGCCGCCATACCCCGAGTTCTTTGTTCCCAAAAATGCTTACCGGGAGCTTACGCAGTGGCAAGGGAAAGAGATGCGGAATTTGGGGTGATGTCTTTTACCAGTTTTAGCTGTGGCGTTGAGACTGCCGGACGGTGCGCAACAGCTACCTTTCAAACGTGCGCTTGCTGGTGTCGGGTCATTACTTGATTTCAGTTTGATGGCACAATATAAAAGTGATACAGGAGAGACTATAGGTTATATGGAACAATATCTCGACAGTTTTCACGCCACGAAGGATATCGTCTTAGAATTTCGAATGTCGAAACAGATACGAGCCGAACTTGAGGATCAGGTCCAAAGGATACGGCATCAGCAAGCCCAGTTGAATGAATCTCACCCCAGGTCGAAGGTATGGAAAATACGTGAGCAGCATTGCGGGCAGGAGGACCACCAATGAATGGAATTGATTCAGTCAAAATGTCATTTCAACTTCATTAAGATGCATCTGCTATCTCACTTCCGTGATCACATATACCAGTTTGGAAATATTCCCATATATTCAACTGAATTTGGGGAGCTGGCGCATAAGGATCAGATTAAGGTCGGATGGTAACGATCGAATAAAAACGATGCCTCCAGGCAGATTCTGAGCACCTATAGCCGACAACACGCGATCCGAATGAGGCTTTTGAACCTAGATTCACTAAGAGGCCAAGGAGCTCATATTGCCGCAGACTTTGTCGACCTTTTGAACAAAACCGGTACCAGACCTGCACTGCGGGCTGAGTCACGTCTTCGAGTCCTGCAGGGGCACCGTGGTGATGTTGCATGTCAGGTCGAATTTTACAATGTCCTGAGTATCACCACCGAAAACATGAGTACCGAATTGATCTGATATAGCCGCCAGGCGCTGCCCACAGAGCGTCGCCTCCCCGACGATCCTGCTATACTTCGACTCCTTCCAGTTGAACTACTGACGCAACTCGAAATCCCAGTTCCAGCCTTTCAGGAAACGGATATTGATAACATCCACCGGGCAAGATCTACGGGATCTGGGCTTTTTTGAAGCCAGGCTAGTTGGAATGATTGGGTTTGGGTCCCGGCAGGCGGGGACCAAATGTATGGTGCGCTCCGCGGCCGTCTTCCGGGAAAGCTCATGGCACTCTTCAAACTACGAGATTGTGGGCACCAGCAAGACAATACATCGACTCGCTTGTGTTCAGATTTTGAGTGCAGTTAACTCTGGGCGTCCGTCAGAATTACACGATCTTGTCACCGTTCAGCTTAGACCCGATGCAAGAAGGTTTACCATAGTGGACATAGGCATGATACTTGGGCAAGCCCACCTGGTTCCGGAGGCAGACGGGCGATGGCTGATCAACAGTCACATTGATTTAAGGACGTTTAATGAAATATATTGACAAACATCGTGCAGACGCATTGATTATGCGACACTCAGAACTTCTAACACCAGACGCGAATCCTCCGACAACAAACAGGCAATATGGGGATAGAATGATAAAGGTCTCTTGATAGCAAGCTGTACATAGAAATAATAGAATATGATTAAGACAAAGTGCTAGAAATCAAGTGTCCGCCGGAGGATCCGCAAACCTGCTGTGGGGAACCATGACATGCTTGCACATGAGGGGTCGTCGATATCGTGGATAGGGGACGCGAGGCAGGCTCCGATGTCTATCAGCTGATATGAATGTCGCGGCAAGGTAGGGAGGCACTTATACGGATCACCACCAGCAGGCAGCACCGCAGAGTGTAATCGGGAGTGTAGTGAGTGTTGCGTTTCAAGTCTGACATTATCCCGAAGTGGCGAGAGCAGGCAAGAGGAACTGGACGGATTGTAGGATTGTCGCGCGACGCCATGAGGGAATCGAGAGAACGAAGCCAGGAGCGGAGCGTCAGGAGGGGGTGACACTAGGAGCTTATCGTAAGGGTTTGAAAGGAGGGTTGGCTGCCGTAGGACGTGGTCTGGATGTCGCAGTGACAAAGGGGGGCGCCAGGCAGGAATCCTGAGGATGGAGGCCGGGGCTGAGCGTCAGGTGGTGAGGCAGATGCAAGGCCGTGAGCGCTGTGATCAGAGCGACAGTTTTGCAGTAGCAACGTAGGGACATGATCCAGACGTTCAACCGAGGGGCCAGAGGGTACCGGAGGTGAGCATGCGAGTGAGAGGTGACGGGACGCAGGGGACGTAGGGGGGCATCGGGGTTGGAAGCCCAGATGCACAGGACGCAGTGGGGCGTTGCAACCAGAATCAGGATGCACAGGACGCAGGTGGCGCAAAAAAACAAAACTCGGCATCAGGACGCACCGCCCACGCATCAGACACAGAGTTTTTTTTTGCTGATGTACGTTATGTGAAATCCCAACATACCTATAGCTCGGAATCCCTAGCTATGTGAAATCCGCCTTGCTTAGTCACAGTTCGTAACAGCAGAGAGCACGTGTTACATGAAAGTTCTCTGGATGGGTAGTTGATAGGAGATTGGATAATTGGGTTTTTGTTTGCTTAATATTGTCTAGAGGTTTAGTTGAAGACAGACAAGGCCTAGTTTTGATAGAAAGGCTGTGGAGAATATAGTTTACTAGGAGTAGGGGAAAAAAAGGGTGGTCAGACTGAGGAGCATGGTGAAGAGTGAGAGGAGGTACAGAGCGATAAAAGAATTAAAGAATAGAATAAATTGCGGTAAAAGGGGAAAAAAAGGAAAATGGTTTGGTCAAAGTGTTCGCTGAGCAGATAGCAGTGTGTGTACTTTTTGATATGATCAGGATGAAACCTTGATTATTTTTTTTGTTGGTGGTACTTTATTGGATAACTATTATCTAAAATGGGTTTCATAGTGTAGTTGGTTATCACACTAGTCTAACACATGGGTTGTTCCCAATGCCAGCCTAGACAAAGTCCAATTTTTCTCCGCCGGTGTCATTAACTATTCTTTTGTACGCTATCAATTCTGCACAGAATTCCTCCTAGTTGTAACTGGGTTTCTACAAGTGAGAGTTGTCTCCACTCCCAATCACGGTTATGAGAATGGAGTTGGCTAGCAGGGTAAAGTGGTGGAGTTCCGCTGCTCTCAAAATTGGCACTTGTTGTATAAAAAGGACTATCAACAATGGCTATTATTGTACTGCTGCAACATCACGGTAGGAAGGTAGAGGTAGAAAGGAAATAGTAAATATTATGGAGATTCAAGGAGATGAAGGACTGCAAGCAATAAGAGAGTGTGAGGGTAGTAATTAATACAGCTACCATCACAATTTATTTACATGACTGGAGACCTGTAGCTTGGTTATTCTATATCATGATGACTATAATACATAAAATGGAAAAAGGTAAAAGGAGCAAAAAATAATAACAATCAAGAAGCCATCCATAGTAAAGCCCCCACCTCCTACCACCACTCCTAGAAAGAGTTCACATAAAAATACAATACCCATAGAGGATCCGCAATTTTCCCACAAGGGAACCACTATCATTCTAGCATGTTAGCAAAAATATCTAACATGGCAGGGAGGTAGAAACTTACCAAATTCAGCAGGAAGTCCGTTCTTAACGTCACCCCAGCCAGAGCTTCTGTGCCCACTTTTCAAGATCCCGCCGCGTGAATTCAATATCTTTCTCCAAGCTGCCTTGGAGTGGCTTCCGAGCAAAGATCTTTTCGAAATTTAGTTTAAGACCTTCTCGAACAACAACTGGCGCGGCATCGTCCGTTGCGGTAATCGCAACAAACGCCGAAGGGTTGCCCAGTGTGACTCCAGCAGGTTCGGAAGGGTGGACTGGGGTGACTGTAGCAGGTTCGGAAAGATTGACGGGAGTGACGACCGCTGGTTCGGAAGGGTTGACCGGGGTGACTGCTGCAGGTGCAGAAGGATTGACGGGGGTGACAGTAGCAGGTTCTGAAGGGCTAACTGGGGTGAGAGCAGGAGGATCTGTCTTGGATGCGGCAACTGGCAGGAAAGCACCCGGTTCGGCAGTGCCTGCTGGGAGAATATTAACAGATGCAGCGCATGTAGGCATCTCAGTAATATCCTTGGGATGACGGCGGGTTTTGGCCTGATACTCGGTAGGGCAAAGTTCCCATTGCTCTATCAGAATCTCTTGCCCTACTTCCTTGATGGAAAACAGTAGAACAATACGGACATCCCCTGAGGAGTTATAAAGCCACCACTTGGCATCAACACGCAAGCGTTCTAGTGTTTCCGACACACCAGATTCAACTACCACTGTGGGCCAGTTTGTTTTATGAGGACGGGATGACTGGGGTCTGAAAGCAGAATCAGCTTCCTTACTGCTCGAAACCCCCTTGTACCGTGTGCCCCGCATGTCAAGTAGATCCTCATCAAGGTCGTCACCCATACTGGCTGTCTTCTTCCATAGCATCCGGCCAAACTCGCTTGTCGCTACCTCATGAATTCCACTCAGCATGAGTTTAGCAACCAAAGTTTGTGCTTGGTTGACATAGAGGAAATGGAGTTGTTTGTAGTTTGCGTCGCGTAGGCGTTCGATCTTTGCAAGTTGTTCTTCGCTTACCGGGGAAAATACAAGGTACTGTCCCCCATTACGAATACGTAATGCGTTTGTTTGTGACTTAACTGCTCCTGCGAACGAGTGGTTGTCCACAAAGTGTCTATGGACTGCATCTTCTAACCCTTGAGTAAGATAGTACTGCATGTTAAATGATCCATCAGGCGATAGAGCTTCTGAAGTAGCCTGAGAGGGGGGCGGAGTCTGGTAGACACCTGGTTTGGTGGTGGACGCAAAAGGAGATTGGCGAACCTTTCTTTGCGAGGCAGCGCGAGATTGGTCGACACGAACTTGCCCGTCCAACATGGCGGTGATTGTGTTACAAAGCCTGGAGCAGATACAGAGGGTAGCGATATCTGTTGGTGGCTTTGAGAATCCTAGGTGCGCGAGGGGTTGTCTACTCTGCGAACGATGAGAAAGAGTTGATTGTTGGCCTACTACAATTACCCGGCAGCTCACAGCAGACTTAGTTTACCAGGTTAATCGAATCGCAAATCCCAGTTATTGAGATTCAACTCGTGCAGGAGTCTGACGTTTACCCTATTCGGCAACACTAATACTTCCTCCCATATCCCCGACCAAGAATTTAGTATTTCATCATCATGCTCACCATCCCCACAGCCCTCCCCTTGTTTGGCCCTAATATTACGTTAGAATGGATGGCTTTGTCCCCCGCTGCAACCACCTCCGATGCCGGATGGCTGTGCTGTTGTGACTACCATACTTCGCAGGTATTCATCCTCTTGGTCCACTGGGACAAGCACATGATACCACTCCAGCCGCTGGATTGCAGTTGGGTTTCCTTATGTAGCAACTTGGGCTCAGGGACCTGTTCTCCGCGGCGTCAGTAAGCTCTACAAACAGCACCCGGGTCTCCACAGGAAATATCCCTCGCGTGGGCCGGGTAGAAATGGTTTTCCGATTATATACTAAATCCCCCACTATACCCGCCCCGCGCATGGAGCCATTTATTCATCTGCAGCCCTCAGGTTGGTTCACTCTTCCTCACCCTTTCTAGTCATATTTACCACCTCCCATGTGCCACTGCCCTTCAGCTTATCGAGCCTCCTCCGAACCGTCAGCGAACCTATCCGGCCCACAGCACCGCACTCCCCAAGCCTGACGACGCCGCAATCGCAGTTCTAAATGCAAGCCACGAAGACAAGACTTGCGCTCTCAGTGGGCTCAGTCCTAGTTCTCTAATAGAGGTCTGCGCTGGTGTGCTCACCTTCTGGACCTATCAATTGAGCAAGTAAATGTCGGCGTTAGCCCCCCCCCCACTCTCAGGTGAGGCATTGAACATAGCGTAGATTTTTTCAACATCTTCCAACATCCTTGTGAGCACAGGAATCTGCAATTCAAGGGGATAACGAGAAGGTTGTTCACGGTGCTAATGCTGAAATCTTAGCGTCGCGTAACAAAAATCAGGGAATGGGCCTTCTTGAGGATAAATTAAGGAAAAACTATCTGTTGGTGCGGGGATGAAGAGAGAAAGCAAGGAAGCTAGCACAAACACAGGTACTCGCGACTCACATTTGCCATCCCCATAAGAGGCCCCGTGCTGACACTGCATGGGAATTCTATCACGAGCGAAAACGCTAAACATTAATCTCCCAAGTGCAGCAGGCCGCTGCCGACCAGGCCGATCAAGCCCTATATGTTGCCCCCTCCAAACCTCCCGGCGCCCGTCAATTGCAGGACCCCCGAGGCAAGTCTGCGGGAAACTATCCCCGTCAAATTCGGCCGGCCCTGGAGCCCGGATACACCGTGACCGGCGGGGGGATCGGGAGCGTTTAGGGCCCGAATGCCACAGGCCCTGGTAATGGCGGGGGCATACTCTTTAATGGTAGATATTCGGTCTTTCCAATCCATTCACCTCACCCCCCTCAACTATTAAATTCCCTTCCTGTCAACGCTTGAATACCCAATCCACAGCTAAACGATTCCCCGGTATACAGAACAAGTACCGGAGACCACCTTTGATGAGGCTTTATGGGAATACTGGGGGTGGGAGGATGGGAGATGGGGGCAAGCGTCGAAGGCCTGTGGACGAAAATGGGAAGGTTGTTCTTGATTAACATTGATCAGGAGATCTCTTTTTTTTCTGGCCGCAATCATGGCGGTGATGTTGGTAATGTTTGGACACTGATTTGGGCAACTTTATGACAATAGCGAACCGTTTTTTCTTTCTCCTCCCTCACTGTGTTTTCTAATCCATCGGCCAAAATAAGTATATCCTAAGGGAGGAGAATTTGAAGCAAATGATGCGCTATCCTTGAATCAATTTCTATGGGAGGGGGAATACCAATGCGACTCTGTACATATGTAATTCCGGGCAAGTAGCGTTGCTAATGTATTCACAAAGCCCTCGCAGGCCTCCAAGAAATCTCGAGATTAGGCCAATGAATCCCTCAGCAAAAGCCATTGCAGTTAAAGTAAAACTTTCTTAGGGTGCGGTATGATACCTCACTGCACTCCTCCACAACAAACCAATATATCTATGCACGACCCCCTCGCTTGGCCGGTACTCTGAAGAGGATTTCGCCGGCAAACCATCCAATCACAACACTCCTCGCCGAAGCATAAGTTCCCTCCCGGGAGAACAGTAGAGGATGCGGGTCGGGCAAGCAAATCAGCGTGTAGACATTAAGATCGTTGACCCAAACCGAATACCATCATCCAACGACATCCGATGCAGCAAGAATAACCTCACTTGTAGCCAAATTAACAGTGTCACGCCCGGTCGGGAACACAGTTGTGAATATAGCAGTATGCGTCATAAGATGGAGAGCGGCGGGATCAAAAGCAGATGTGGTTGTTGGAGAGGTAGAGCATGTAGTATAATAGCATGTTACTTATGGAGGGGGGGTAAGGCAGCGGAAAGGCTGAAAAGGTAGGTCTCCTTATAAATCTATTACCAGGCTGTTAGTAGGTTGAGTGATGTCTAGTGATTCCAGAGATTGTCTATATCATGCTATATGTACAGTACTGGTAACGTATCATACGGCGGACCGTATGACTTGGGGGGTTCCATTTTTTTCTTTTCTTCTCTTTTCTCCTTTCTCTTTCCCCTCCCTTTTGGTTTTGGCTTAGATTCAGATTCCCGGCTTGGAACTCTTGACCTGTAGTGTGATGCGACCCACCGGTCGACTGAGATCGCGATATGCCATGGTGTACCGTAGTGTGCTTAGGCACGACACACTTGTCTCCACAAAGCTCGGAACTCGGAAGATAGCACCTCAGGAATATGATACCCCATCAACTCCAGCTGTAGATAATGTATGGAGGAAACCTTTTCCTAATGACGCTATTTTGAGAAACATGCGGTAACGGTAAGTTCCGTAAAAGATTTTCCCTATCTATTTTTGTTTCTGCCGCTGGTTTTTTTTTTTCATCCGGTCAATAGCTTCCGTAGCTTTCCTGTGGAACTGCGGAGACATTGGGAACGTTAAGAGGACTTCGTGGACAGGAGTGTAGGGTACCGCGGGGTTTGCTCTAATAAATTTGGTTGATTTCCCTTACATGTGGGATCTCATGGGGGGTTGAGGGAATATATCTCCGCCTCTGGTAGGGAGGAAAAAAAAAATCCATCAAGATATAAGAGACTAGGAATTGCAACTATCATACCAGAACTGGGGGGCGCCAATATCTGCCATCGTGCCCCTAGTCCGAGCACCAAAGAAAAGGAACGTCCGGGGGTGCCCGGGAGATGTGCGGTATACCGTGCAGAAGGAGGCTAGGCGAGGCGGAGGAGGGGGGGGGGTTGGCGACCTTCAAGGGATGTCTGATAAGTCCCCGTGTCTCCACTATATCAAGTCGTACTGGTGTCCACAGGTTCGCAGGCTTGTAATAGCCCGACTGTGTCGAAATGCTGACCCCGGGCAGCCAACGACCGCGCTGTTCTACCCGTGTTGTCGGAAATATCGGGATCGACATTTTCACGGCCGAGAGGCAAGCGGACCACCTCCAAATGCCCCTCGCTCAGAGCGAACATGAGCGCCGCTTGGCCCTGCCGGTCTCATCCCCTAGGGCCGACATCTTTCTCGCCGAGCAGTTTCTCCACCCGCCCTACAGGTCCATTGCTTACCGCCCACATTAATGGAGTCGAGAACGACAAGTTGTCAGAAATATCATGCCTGACGCTCTCCCGTTCAAGCAGCAGCTGCACAACCATCGTGAACAGGAGTGGCATGTCGCACTCTGCAGGGTTGACGGCATTCCCTTCCCGCAGTATCCTTACCACCCCCTCGTGCCCATTGCACACAGCCCGGGCGAGGGGGGTCCATCCGCATGCATCCCGTCTTCCGCGGTTGACACCTCCCGCTTTGGGAACCCGCTCCACCATGCCCTTATGTCCGTTGGTGGCAGCCCACCCCAGCGGCGTCCGCTGGGCCTGATCCGGAGTGCCAATGGCAATAGCCTTCCTCACGAGCAGCAGATTCATGACTTCCTCGTGCCTCCTCATCGCCCCTCAAACTAGCAGTGTTCCGTGCGCCGAGTATTTGACGGAGAGGGAAGCGCCGATAGTAGGGGGAACTCCATTGTTCACGTGGGTTTTCTGCATCCTGCGCCATGGGTAAGCCTTAGGACCTATCATAAATATTATTATATTAGTCACCCAAACACGGCTTCTGTTGGACTTGACCAGACGCAGGGCTTGGTGGGGCAACTGAACCATAAGTAAACTAGTGTAAGTTTCGGGGGTATCATACCTTCCCCCACCGCTGCCGCACAAAAGCCTACACCCGACCTCTCCAGCCCATAATAAAAAACCCAATATCCGTTCTCACGGCGGCACAAATCAGCGCCCCAGATCCGAGTAGTTCATGTGCTGAGCTCTTCTCCTGGTACAACCTTCAAAAGATCTGATCAAGCGACATCGTCTAGGTGTGGTGTAAGACTGGCGAACCATTTTCCTGTGTGGCGCTGAATATTCGGTGAGCACGGCATTTGTTGAAAATCTCAGCATGCTGCGAGGCATGCTCATCCGAGTCACGGCCCCTCCTCCATTCCATTCCTTTCCCTCTTCCCTTCCTCCCATTTCTTCTGTAATCCCTTAGTTCGTTCGCTCGGACACGGAT